AGGTTTCAAAAAAAAAAGTAGAACTAAGGAGTCCTTCATTATTTCTTTTCTGTGAAACACAGGAAAGATGGATAGGAAATTACTTAAAAGTTATTACCTTGTCACGGTTTGAATACCACCGCACTTCACTGAGGGGAGGACTGAAACCTAGCCAACCACAGGTCCCAGAACATAAAGAACACTCCAGATAAAAACAGGAAAGCACTTCCAGACCACAGCCTCGGCATACGGTGAAAGAACGGAATTGCCCACTCTCCTTTCTTTTCTGTTGGGAGTCAAGTCTAGGGCCTCGTGCATCCTAACATCCTAACGGTGAACAGTACCAGCCCCCCAGGTAGATGAAGAAATGCTGCTTGGTATTCCCATTGTGTTCCAGACTGTCTACCTTTCTGGGTGATGAATCAGGAGAGACAGTACCAATGACTCAGAGATGGGGAGCACCTGACATGTGGATGGGGGGGTAGTATAAACACTCAGGTCTCTTAGAACACTGGGCTTGCTGTAGACTAAGCACCACATCCTAATCTCCCCGGATTTCTAGGGTTTACTGGGAAGAACGTGCCCCATGCACCGTTCAGCAAATATGCTGAGCTAACTGCTGCCTCGCCAGTGCTCCCAGGGAAGTGAGTGCTCTCTATAGCAAATAATCCTCCAGCCTCACCCTGGAAGGCCTGGGTTCAAATTATGCAGTAGGAACACCATCTTGAGAAGAAGGAAATTATCATTTAGGTCGTAGAAAGTATACACTTTTGAATTGCTAACAAAAAAATAAGTTCCTATTTTTCATTTTGCTAGCACTCCGGTGTTAAAAAATCTCCTGAAGCAAACTAGAGAGGTTCTGAGAGCAATCTCTGAGCCTACAAATTTGGCTCAGTTTCTATTCAATTCCAAACCATTACAGGCTTCCTCTTTCAAATGCCTAATTATCAAAAACAACTTTAACAAAAACATAAAGGGAAAAAGCTAAGGAAATATGATACACAATGCAAGGTTAATTCTTTAAAAAAAAATCTGTTTTTCTTCCACATACACATACCACAAGAACGCTAAAACACTGCTCTATCGCTTCTGTGCCATCTTTTTTAGTCAGTATGTAATAACTGCCATGTTTATAGCTATACAGTCGCGAATCATTTAAGCTCTAAGCCTCTACGTTCTACTCTGGTAACAGGGATTGGGTAGCTACATAACAGGGCTGCAATGACCTTTAAGTACTTCAGCCAACCCTTATGCAAGTAGAACTTTTAACTATCTGTTGGCTTTTAGCATAAACCAAGTTTTCATGGCTGCCTAATGAAACACTCCTGTTTCCTGTGGCAACTGTCTTCAGGCAGTAGCTCTTGTAAATAGAGCCGACACACCACCGTCTCAGAAGTTCTCAATGCCACCACCGCCTCTGAAGAGGTGGACCGCTTAGGGATGAAGCTAACTCACCGATCTCGCGAGAACCAGCGGGTAACACCTGTGTTCTAGTCCCTTCTGGGTGCTCAGACTGTGACCCAGTGGTCCTTAACCCTGACTCACATGAGAATTACATGGGGAGTTTATAAAAATATTAAAGCCTGGGCTTCATCCCAAACCCATTAAATCACATGGGAGTGGGAGTGGGAGTGGAGGGCAGGAAGGGCCAAGAATCGGCGGCGGCGAGGGGGGGTAGCATTTATTTTAAGTTCTGCACATGGTATCAACAGGCTGCCAGAGTTAAGAACCTTTGGCCCTTCAAACCCTGCATTTGTGTGCAAAGGCGCATGAGATTCGGCGGATGGATAGGTGGGTAGGAAAGTAAGTAAGACTCAACCCAAGAGTCTCAGCCTCATTGGCTTCCAGCTCAACTGTCTCTTCCCTTTAAACATAGAGCATGCCAACACGGAACCAGCAGCAGGCTGCGCGCCCATGCGCTCACACGGCTAAGTTGGTGCCATGTTCTTCCACTTCTTCCTAGACCCCAGCCCTTGCTCTCTCCAAATCTACACAGCTTTCTTCTTGTTTTGCCCACTCCGCCGCTTCGACAATGCAGTGGGCACGGACACGTAATGATCATTTGTCGCATTTGAAGAACACAAAAACTAATCGTAGGTAGCATGCCATGTCCTAATTATTCAATGAGAGCGAGATACTACCACACGGGAAAGGTAGAAAACGCCGAAAGTCAGGGAAATTAAAACAAAAACAAGAAACTAATGAATGAAAACCAGAGTTTATCTCATTAAAAGGTGTCTGGAAATTTGGACTTTTATACTCAACTCCCCACAGTCCCTGCCTGGTATGCTATCCCCTCCTGGGAAGTTTTAGCTTTTAACCCATTTCCTCTCTAAACTATCTCATAGTTGCTACTGGGATGTTTGGCTGGAGTCAGGTGCCGTTGCAGCAATATAAGCAACACACAAGAATAATACCATCAGTTGGTAAAAGGCAGAATGAATACATCATACAGATGTTTGATGTGTGCATTTCGGGGGACGGAGGATACTGTTTCACCATGTATTCCTAGCTGGGCTCCAACCACACAGATCTATCTGCCTTCCTCTGCCTCGGCCTCTGCAGTGGGGTGGAAAGCCTGTTCCACCACAGCCTATAATACCTACTGCTTGAAGGAACAAAGATTGTCAGCCACTGAACTAGGCCCTCTAAGCACATTCCAGGAAAATCTGGAATAAACTCGTTTGGGAATACTGCGTCAATGAATGCAAGTCTCATTCAACAGCACATCTTTGTTTCCCTACCTAAAAGTTTATAGAATACAACCTCCTAAAAAACAGGAGTGCTAAGCAATGCAACACACCAACCCTTTTCGGCGAGTGCCTCTCACTATTCAAAACTTGAAGAAATGGCTTGCAGTTCTAAAACAGCAACAGCCTAAGAGATATGAAAACGGTTCAGCTTCAAAGTTCTGCAATATATATTCTCCAACTGTTTAAACCATATTTTTTTAAAAAAAAAAACCATTCTGAAATTCCAACAGTAAGGGAAGGAGACACTTGAAAAGTATGTCAGCTAATTAGATACTGTGGTAAAATATGACTTTGTTTTGTTGGGTCCTACAGCTTGAAACAGAGCCATGGTTACCACTAAAAGAAAGCAATCCTCAATTCCCTATTCAATAAAAAAAAAAAGGTTCAAATTCCACAGACGAAGGAAAAAAAAATGGTACCCTGGGTTGTTTGTTTTTAAGGAAGATTAAATTTAGGAGTTGCCAACACCCAAACGAAAAACATTCCAGAGTATTCGACTCAATTGCAGCGGGGAGCCATCTACATTCTCGGCAATGCGTTCCCTCACTCAAGAGGAGGACCCACTAACAAAAGATGTTTCTCAGGCTCTCACACGATACACTCTACTTATTTTCCCGGGCTTCTTCTTTTTTTTTTAAGTAATTAAAAAAAAATAATTTTAGCCCAAGCAGCCAGACCAAAAATATGAAGTTTAACATCTGCCAACATAGTTCCCAAAATAAGACCCTTGTCAGATGAACCCTGAAAAAGGAGCAAAAAATGACAAGTTCTATTATTTGGACCATAAGTTGCTTTTTAAAAATAACGCTGAGGAATGCAGACTTTCCAAAGCTTTGTCTTCAATTCCCCTTAATCTTCATATTTTTACATTAAAAAAAAAAGGAACCTGGAAATTTGATTACCATTCTTATGAATTCCTTTGAAAGCAACTTTAATGAATAACAGATATCTTGTACAAGTAGTAAACCACAAAGGACAGTTGTTCTGCCTGATAAAAATCTCTGAAACATTCCCATAAAAATACAAAAATAGACCCTACAGAGACACACTCCGATTTTCTAGTTATGGAAATCACATTAGTACTTAAAATTATAATTCTAATATACTCCTTACTACAAATCACTTAAACCACAATTATTAATAAATTAGTGGGCAATGGGGTGGAGATGGTCTCACAAACGCATAACCCTGACTGGTCTCAAATGCTCCATCTTCCTGCCTCAGCCTCACAAGGATGCGATTATGCTTTTGAGCCATGATGCCTGGCTTTTAACGTGCTTTTGCGTTCTGTTCTGTTTAAGCAGTGCTGGCGATCAAACACCGGGCCTTAACACATTCTAAGCGAACGCTCTACCACTGAGCTACACTCCCAGCCCACAGTTAGTAAATATTTTAACAGTCATTTAATGGCCAGGAAGAAAAAAGTTGTGGGTGGTGAACAAAAACTAAAAAGCCACTGAGTAAGATGTGGCTCCTCGGGTGAAGCGCAGTGGTCAAACCACTTCCCCCCTCAACGGTTTGGGGCAGCTTACTTCCAGGTGGATAGAAGTGCGAGAAGACACTTCGGCAAAAATCTTTACACAGACCCTAAGAGAACGTCCCTGCTGCCTGAAGAAATGTTTTTTGTGAAATAGCAAAAATAACCCCAAACAAAAGAGCACACCTCCCACAAATGCTTGCCCAATTATTAAATACCGCAAGAAATCCCTGAGCCTCCAGAACCGAGATTGCTACAGCATCCCTGCTTGGGTGGGGGTGAGGGGGTGGGGTGATGTAGGCTACACCGCAGACTTTTATTTGGACACACTCATCTCGAGTTTACTGCGAGATAAACGCTGCCTTAGATATTGCTAAGGCTACGCTTTCTTTACAGGTGCTCTCCTGCAAACACTGCTAGGGAAGTGGAGATAAAACAACCTGATAGCCGGAGACGGACACGTGGGAAAGCAGAATACGTCATCACCTCCACGAATCGATTTTCCCTAACTGATCACCCCCACACGGAAAAGTCTAGGCTGGCAAACCTTGGGGACACAAACTGTCTATCACTCTAAAGTAGGAAATCGGTTCCCAGGGCGCAAAAAAGCACGTGTCCTCATCTGGGTCGGAGAAACTTCCCAGGAATCTTTTGCTCAAAGTAAAACTCCATCCAGGCTGAAAGGGAGTGCAAGGGACCTCCGGGCCCCGGGTCGAGGGAGCTCCCTGGTGGAAGACACCGGAGGCGGCCCCGATCCCCGAACCCTCCCCGCCCCGCCCCGTCCGGCTCACCTCCGCGGCGGGGATGTTGACCACGCCGGTGGAGCGCCGCTTCTCCCGCAGCTTCCTCTTCTCGATCTGCCCCTTGCCTTTCCTGGCGCTGGGCCCCGAGCTGCGGCCCTTCTCCGGGGCGCCGTCCGGTTCTTCCTCGTCGCCCCGGGACGCGGGCGCCCCCGCGACTGCAGCGGCTGTCGAGCATTCCTCCTCCGGCCGCCGGGAGCCGGGAGCCGAGCGGGGCAGCGCCGAGGGACCCAGAGCGCAGTTCAGGGCGGTGGGCCCGGGGACAGCAGGTGCGGCCGCGCCCGCGGGGCCGTGGTTGAGCTCGGAGGTCCCGGCGACCGCGGTTGGGGACAGTGGTCCCGCAGGGGACTTAGCGGCAGGATCGCCGCCGCCGCCCGAACCCGGGCCCGCGGGGTTCTGCTTCGCGCGCATCTTCTCGCGCTTCGCCTTCCACTCCTCCAGGAAGTCCGTGGTGCTGCCGCCGCTCCGGTAGCCGCCGGTCGCCATGTTCCCAGAGGGGCCGGCGGGGGCGCCCCTCTCGCCGCGCGTCCCGACTCCCGCCGCCGCCTGCCGCCTGCCCAGGGAGCAAGAATGCGAGGGGGACGGCGCGCAGCGCGACCCAGGCTCTGCAAGGGAAGCACACGGGCCGGGTGAGGGGGCGCGGCGTCAGGTCCCAGGGCAACCGCAGAACAGCCATGGGCTCCCCCCTCGGCGTCCCCGCGAATCCCCAGCAAGTTCGCAAGGCTCACCTCCGCCGTGCACCCCGAGATCCCTGACCCCGGGGAAGCAGAGAGAGGAGAGCCCCACCCTCGCCACCCTCCCCTCTCCCCCGTCCCACCCCGGTGGGAGACCGCGCACCGGGACACCCGCGCCGCTGCCACCTGTGTGCCGAGCTCCCCGCGACTCCTCTCCGCTGGCGCGGGCTCATGCTCCCGCGCCACGGACGCCTCCATTCCGGGACGGGGCATGGAGCCCCCTAGCCGGCTGGAACAGGCGAAGTGTGTCCAGCGGAGAACGGGACCGGTGCACGAGTCCCGCGCGGGAGACCCGGGGAGCCCCTTCCTTACCTCCGAGAAGTTTAGGTGGGACAAGGCGCGGTGCGGGGAGGAGGGTTGTCCAGGTGAGCCAGAGCGCTCAGGACGCGCACGACCAGCCACGGCAAACTCGCCCGCTGGAGCTCGGGGGCAGTCCCTGGCCGGAGGGAGGGAGAGAGGGTGGGAGGGAGAGAGCGAGGGGCGGAGGGGGGGGGGGCGGGAGCCGAGCAGGGCCGAAGCGGGGCGGAAAGGACCGAGTCCCTGCCAGAAAGTGGGAGGGGGGAGGGAGTGCCGCCGAAGCCCCGCCCTCCGCGCCCAGGTACGCGGCGCCCCGCCTATCCCGCCGCGGCGTCTCCTCCCTCTCGGGGCGCCAGTGGCTGGGACACCTCATTCTTCCAACTCTTGAGATTCTGGGGCGGGATCGGTCGCTCCACGCCCCTCTCCTCGCTCCACTTCCCCGCCTCTCAGGTCTCCCACCACTCTTCCTTTTAAGTCCAAGACCGTATTATTCTAGGGAAAGTTGTGACTTGCTGAAGGCAAGTGCTACCAGCTAGTGATGATTCAGGACCTGGCTCGCCAGGGTGGGGAAATACCCATGCGTCCCTTTCCCTCGCTGCTGCCCACCCCTTTTGGGATGCAAGGGGTGGCAAGGAGAACCCCAAGAAACCCAGCAAGCCTCTTCAAAACAGCGAGTGTCGTGGGAAGGGAGTTAGCTAAAAGAAGAAGCTAAAATTAATGATTTATCAAGACTTTGTTATTCTCTCAAGCTTTTGACTCGACATGATGCCTTTGCACACTTTTACTGTATTTTGCAGTTCATCCCGTTTTCACGCAGTCTCTACACCGCTTATGGACGGTTTTAGCAGCAAATCTCCCACTAACGTCGTAAAGCTGGATAGTCTCCGTTTTTTCCATCCCTACTATGCTCAGGAGTCCACCCTCACACGCGGGTCTTCTAAGGTCTCTAGATCCGGGGTGAATGGGCCCCCGCTGATCTCTCACGTCCCTGTAAAGGCAGAGTTGTCAGGCATCATTGTCAGGGGCTGTGAAACCATGCCTTCATGTCCTAAAAAGATAGAGCCGTGAGTCACACACAGACTGACCTAACAAATCTTTCTCATTTTGCTCAGGTGCCACAGTGTGGGCAAGGAGGCTACAGGCACCTACTAGAGCAATGGGAACAGGCGACAATGACTCACAGGCTTTGCATTTCTCAGAAGCAGTTCTGGTCTTTGGCCTGCCGGTTGGAACGACAGAAACGCTTAGAAAGTTACTTGGTAAAAGGTCTCACCTGAGAGACTTTAAAACATACTGATCGTAAGCGTAGCTGGAACAAACCGAATTGTGGTTTTGTTTTTTGGGTTTTTAAGAGGCAAGGTGAACCTGGAGGTGGCGGCTCAGGCCTTTAATCCCAGGACTCAGGAGGTGGATCGCCGCAGGCAGATCTCTGTGAGTTCGAGGTCAGCCTGGTTTTACAGAGGGAGCTCTAGGACAGCCAGGACTACACAGAGAAACTCTGTCTCCAAAAATAAGACAAAACAAAAGAGGCAAAATGGAGCCTGACTATAAACTTTGATATTCAGGCATTGATCTCTTGGAGGGGCTGTAGACCATGATGGAAAGAGGACATGCTCAGTTGGAGTGCCCAGACCTAATTTATCGCACAGATTTTTAGCGTGTGTTTAAATTCTCTGAAATTCTGTAGCTTTCTTTACTACAAGATCAGCAATAGTACCATATGTTTTAAAGCTGTTTTAAGAGTTGAGTCTGACTGTAGTATGCTTGATTCAAGGGCCACTCCTGTTACTATAATATCAAACTGTCCTGGGGTTCTGATTGGGGAGACAGAAAGGAGAAGGAGGAGGAAGAAGAGGAAGAAGAGAAGAAAAAAAGAAGAGGATGAGATGGAAGAGGAAGAAGAAAGAAGAAGAAGGGGGGAGGAGGAGAAGGAGGAGGAGGAGGAGGAGAAGAAGAAGAAGAAGAAGAAGAAGAAGAAGAAATTGAATACGTTAACTTGAAAACAATAGACCTTAAATGAACAAGGGTAACATTTATGAAAATAAATTTATCACCCCCCTCCATCTCTTAGTATTAATCGACTCTGAGTCAGGAGTGTTGGCTGGCTTGGCTTTGGGTAAGTTGCTTAACTTTTGTGCCTCTGTTTACCTGCATATAAAATGGGGATAATGATACTTCCTACATGTTAAGAGCATTGTGAAAGTGCCTCAGGTCCTTAGATAAAAGGTAATACGTGAGAACCAGAGCAGTTACTAGTCTATAAAGTGCCCAGGGAATCATGGATGAAAGAGATTATTAAGGTACAAAGCACTCTGTTTTGTTATTGTTATCGCTTATTATACCTTTTGTCTTGACTTTACCATTCTCAGTATTCCCAAAGGTAGATTGCACAACCAGGCTTCTTCCAACATTATAGTGAGGTATTTAAGCTGAGTCAAGCCTGCCCTGTAAGATGTTTGCATATCATCTTTATGTATAGACTTCTGATGAAATAATCCTCAAAGATGTGGGGCTCAGTTTCTCAGCCTCCACACTATTGACATTTGGGGCTGGGTGGATCTTTGTTCTGGGGTTTGCTTCATTCATTGGAATAGGCTTAGCATCATCTTGGACTTCAACCTTCCAGATGCCAGAAGCATCCACGAAACCTTTTGTGGCATTGCCAAGTGTTCCTGGGTCAACAGTAAAACTCTCGGAGTTGGCCTGACATAGCTCATTTCAGTGATCCATTTGTACTTAATAATAAAGGAAAATATGCTAATGCTAACAAAAGAAGCAAGATTTTATTTGAAGTGTCAGAGTGAGAATAATTATAAACACTAACCCTCACTTATATCTTCTAGACAGTATTATGAACTAGCGTGTTTGTTTTTTATTTTTTTACTTTATTAATTAATTTATTTTTTTAAACCGATCTTTTCTCATTTTACATACCAATTCCCATCCCACTCCCTCCCCTCCTCCCACTCCCCCCTTCATCCACTCATCATTGAGGGTAAAGCCAGCCTCCCATACAAGTCAACAAAGTCTGACACTTGACTTTGAGGCAGGACCAAGGCCCTCTCCTCTATATTTCGGCTGAGCAAGGCATCCCTCCAAAAAGAATGGGCTCCAAAAAGCCAGTTCAAGCACTAGGGATAACTCCTGGTCTCACAGCCAGTGGCCACAAAGACTGCCCCAACCACACAACTGTCACCCACATTCAGAGGGCCTGAACTAGCATATCTGTATGTGTTGAAATAATGAATAATATATTGGAAAAATATTCATTTTTATTCCAATGCAAATATCTCTAGAGCATATAGCTTATCCCCAAATTAAAATAATAGACAAAACTGGTGTAAAAGTTAACTATTTCCATTCTATAAGGATTATAACAAAGGTCAGCAAGCTCTCGTTACCCTCCCCACCACCCATACAGTCCTAACAATGACCTCCCAACTGTTTCTGATAATATAGATTTCGTGTTTATTGTTTAAATATTCTTACCTTGTTTTCTACTTTTCTGTTTGCCCATGTTTGGTGAGAGATAGTTCTCTTATGCTAGCTATGCATACATTTTTCTTACGCATAGACTGTATCTATATCTTAATTCTAACTAAATATACACTCTGGGTTTTTATAGAGCTATGATAACACATTATAACCCGGGATTGTGTGGTGCACTCTGATTCCATTTTTTTCATTTTTACAACTGTATTTCCTTGCTATAAAAATATTCCTTTGCAGTTCACCCTTGCTTTTATTTTCTTTTTACAATTACTGATGTATTTTATTTCTCTATACTGTTTATAACTTGGCACCTGTTGCAGGGGGCCGCTTGTTTGTCCTGGTCGCCCAGAACCAAAATAACCACACAGAAACTGTATTCATTAAATCACTGCTTGGCCCTTTAGCTTTAACTTCTTTTTTTTTTTTAATATTTATTTAAATTTGTGTATACAGTGTTCTGTCTCCATGTGTGTCTGTAGGCCAGAAGAGGGCGCCAGATCTCATTACAGATGGTTGTGCACCGCCATGTGGTTGCTGGGAATTGAACTCAGAACCTCTGGAAGAACAGCCAGTGCTCTTAACCTCTGAGCCATCTCTCGAGTCCTAGCTCTAACTTCTTATTGGCTAACTCTTACATCTTAGTTTAACCCATCTCCATTAATCTGTGCATCACCACAAGGTCATGGCCTACCAGCAAAGTTTCATCACATCTCCCGTGGCGGATCCATGGCATCTCTCTGATTCTGCCCTTCTTTCTCCTAGCATTCAGTTCTGTCTCTCCACCTACTTAAGTTCTGCCCTATCAACAGGCCAAGGCAGTTTTTTATTCATTAACCAAGAAAAGCAACACACAGACAGAAGGACCTCCCACACCAAATACCCAAGTTTTTCTCTTCCCGGTACAGTATAGCAGATTGGCTAAATTAATTGACTTTGTTTTGCTTTCTCTTGGGAGGCGTGTCTCTTGGGTCTCAGTTTGGGCCTGCAGTCCTGGAGTCGGGAGTCAGAGTGCTCATGATTCAACTTCTGCAAGAGGAGTTTCAAGCGGGCTCCTTAAGGAGTTGCGTAAGCCCACTTCCTTTCTAGAAGTCCTGCAGACTTCACTTGATTTTATTTCTTTGTTTTGTTTTCTATTTTTGAATGTTTGTTTGTTTCTGTTTCTGGAGGTTTTGTTTGTTTGTTTGTTTGTTTTTAGACAGTATTTCTCTGTGTAGCCCTGGCTGTCCTGAAACTCACTTTATAGACCAGGCTGGCCTCGAACTCACAGAGATCCGCTTGCCTCTGCCCCCCAAGTGCTAGGACTGCCAGTGTACACCACCACTTGGTTTTCAACTAACCTGGTTTCCACACCCACCAGTTGCTTTTTTGTCAGAGATGTATACTGCTGCTTCTAGTTTCATCTCTGCGTGTATGATGTAAGTATGCGTGTGCACACGTAGTCATGTGTTTGAATGTGTGCACACATGTGCCGTAGCTCACACATGTAGAAGTCAAAGGACAACCTCAGGTGTCAGTCCATGCCTTACACCTTGTTTGAGACAGGCTCTCCTCATCATTCATCACTTGGACTCCCTCCTTGCTGGCCCTTGATCTTCCCTTTCTCTTCCTCCACCAGGAACCCTCATTTTCCAGCCGCCACATCTGGCGTCATG